GAACTTGATGGAATGCTGGTAGGGGAAGTCTGAGGTAGAACAGTTTCTTCAATATCTTTCTTTGTTTTCAAATGATTACTTTACATAGCATCAGCATATTTATTAGCCCAGCCAGACACTTTGAACAAGCATCCTCACACACAGATTTAGGTATTGCTTATGAAAGTGTGGTGGAGGTCTGACCCAGCACAGTCTCAGTGAGGGTCCGGTTATTTTCAGGCTTTGAGAAAAGGTTGCCAAAATGGCCAGTAAACAGAGACAGAGATCAAAAGAGAGAGACAGAGGCCGGGCTGGCAAAATATTTCATTAAATCACCAAGGCCTCAAGCCATCTAGTTTAGTTCCCTCAGCAACTGTTGAATCAGGCTCTAACCTGAGGCTAAAAAAGTCCAGCTATTAATTTTGCAATCCCCTCAAGTCATCTAGCCCTAAGAGAGGGGTTGGCATTGATCTGATCGGTTACTTTCCAGATTTAAAAAAAAAAAAAAATCTTTAGGAGCATGCCACAGGTGTAATGAGGAAAATATCCCGAAAAGTAGAAAGAAATGTCTATGTTTCCATTTAGTTAAAAACATGAAAAGAGAGAAATGAAAGAAAATCCGGGACAGGCAGCACTTGAAGAAGCTGCAGACAAAGAGAAAATGGTGGAGGTAGGGGGTGGGGAGAAGTTTCCTTTTCCCTCTCTGACCAACCTCACAAAACTTGATTTTTGTTTGCTTTTCATTTTTCAGAATCATGATTTCAGGTTTGGTTATAAAATAAGTCCCTTGCTTGCCACTCCCAGCCTACATTCTGTTCCCTGTGTGAGCAGACTTCCAAATGAAACTGGTGGTCTCTGTACCACCATGGGGAAAAAAAATAACAAAAGTGTCCAGGTTCCTAACTCCAACTCATAATCCCACCAAGAGCAGTCACAGTACAAGTACGAGTCAGAATCCTAAGGATTCATTGTTTTAAATGTGTATATGTACACCACAGGAGAAAATTATTACAGGGAAGAAAAACACTTAAAAAAAGAAAATTTAATGTGCCAGCAAATTCAATATATTATATCAAAGTTTACAACTCAAAGAATGAAACTCTGATGAGGTAAAATTAGCCCTGGCAAGAAAGTGCCCCAAAGTGACCCTGCAATTGGAAGGCTACAAGCTTCTTAGAAAATATCTTTTACTGATGTTAACCTTTGGCCGAGCTAAAAGAGATACTCTGTGGACAACAAAGAGGAGCCTTCCATCAGTACATCTTGCACATATTTCCAAATGGGGTCCCACCCAGTGTGGCTACTTGATCCTCTGGTTCTGATCACTGGTACTCAAACATAACTCACTAGTTATTTGCTGACAATGGAGAAAGGATGCTTCTTTCCAACATACTGACTCTCAAGGACTATGGACAGAAAGCGTCAGACTATCTCGGTCCCAAAGCAAAATTCTGCGTTAGGAAAAAAAAAAAACAAAAAAAACGCTCCTTGCAAAATAGTCATAAAAACTTGTTTGATAACTAAAGAGGGAAGAGGAGATGGAAAGGGGATTAATAAAATGCCTTCTTTTTAAATAACTAAGAGGGGAAAAAGCAGGATTTGCCAATCTCAAAGCACTACAAAAATACTACCTATTATAAAGATCAGAATAAATTACCAAGAGAAAAATTCTTTTTGCATCCAGATAATTAATCTAAATCCCAACTCTTATTCTGGCACTTGCTTCCTTGGGCCTCAGCTCCCAAGAATATTTTTTCATATTATTGTGCTGCTTGCTGGAATATAAAAGGTCTTACTTCTGGCAAGTGGGCAGGTGGTCAATTAACAAAGTTGTAGTCTTGTTTGATCTCTGAAAGAAGACAGCTCAATTAAATATCATCAGGGTTGTACAGAAGCCCCATCACTTTTTATTCTTCCTTCTGTTCAAAGCACATGCTAAATTAAGTTGTTGTTGTTGTGGGGGGTTGTTGTTGTTTTTAAAGGACCACCTTCAGTTTCTCTCCTTCCACCTCTCTCCTTTGAGCAGAAACATTGAAGATGTGTAAGAATATAGTTATTCCAAAAGTTACTAAAGTTAACCCCCCCCCAATTAACTAATGTGTATGAACACACACACACACTTGGGAAAGGAGGAATCCGACATTATTGGAAGCCTCTAGAATTTTTAGATTTTTAACTCAAATTTAGCACATAATGCATGCAATACAGACAGGGTGGAAGCTCTGGCTTTGGCTTAAAAAAATCCCTTGCCTTTCACCAGATTGTGCCCCAACAAAGTGAGGGAAAGAAAGATAAAGTAAGAAAATGTCAACTTTTAGACTGGGGTTGGTCGCATTTTGATGAAATTGATAAATTTTCAAAAAACTGACTCAACGATTTTCTATATCCTAGAAATGAAAATCCTTTGTCAACCCACAAGACAGGAATGCCAGTTTTCCCTTTCACTAGACTCTCATAGCCAGTGCTGCAACCACAAACCAGGGAAGATTAATAATCTTTTACTTTCTTTGGGTACTGTTAAATTCTCACTAGTTAAGGTCATTAATTTAAGCAGGTCTTTCTAACAGAGAAATTTTCCCACTAAGACCTGGGATAAAATAACCTAGCTTACTGCACACCTCATGGGAAGAACTTTTTGCTTTCTATATCTACTTCCTGAAATTCTCAGGTTATATTTTCAAAGAAACACATCCCTTGGGGCGCCTGAGTGGCTCAGTCATTAAGCGTCTGCCTTCGGCTCAGGCTGTGTCTCTCTCTGTCAAATAAATAAATAAAATCTTCAAAAAAAGAAACCCATCCCTTAACAAAGATGTGGAATTGCTCATTTCCTCCCTATTAACTGAGCTAGTTGTTGGGGAGGGTGTGCGGAAGAGAAAAGGTTCCAGTTTAATATCATGGTTATGTCAAGAAGCACCTGAGACATCCCCATCCCTCAAAAAAGTTCACAGAACTGACTAGCAACAACCCTAGGGGAAAAAAATTAACCCTACCAAGTAAATCTGTTCTTATAAAACAAAGAAAAATTCCACGGTATAACCACATTGCAAAAATACTTTTTTAAAAACCAAACTAACTGGAAAACATTTTGATGATATAAATAAACCCTTTGAAAATCCTGTAAGCTAAACACTTAAAATCTAATACTAGGATGTGAAGGCTGGTAAGAAGCTGTTTCTTCAATAGCCCAAAAAATAATACTTTATGAAATCCTATCCTTCTCGTTCTGTCCTAACACTGTTCTATCAACCTTCCAAGAACAAAAGCATCAGTGAAAGGAGGCAAATTGTTGGGTTTAAGTCGCCAAAGATGCTAAGGCTAACAAAGAAATTTTGGAAAAGTCACAGATAAAACAAAACAGCTAAAGCAAAACGTAACAAGACACAACTCCAAGGGAACATAAGTACCCAGCACACCTGAGGAGTTAGTTCCTTGGTCAGTATTCCCTCCCTCATGGAGATAAACTAGTATCTTTGTTGGGGTGGGGAGGGGGCAGAATCTTCAACATGATCTCCAAGAAGCTCAACAAATGTAGGAAGAATTTTTAATAAGCAAGGTGAAATTGACCACCACTTTTCTCATGTCCTAATTAAAACTCATGGGCAAAATTATGGCTCATAGGTCCCTAACAGTTCTTAACTAAGTTTGTTAGAGGTAGCAGCTCATGTTTTAAAATGCAAGCACGTCTAATATAACACTGTATGTCAACTATACTTTAATAAAAAAAAATGCAAGCATATTCTTAAAATGAAGGAATATATTGAAGAGCCTCACTCCTCCCTCCCAAAAGCAATTTCTGAGCACACTGGAATAGCAGGAAATTCTTTAAAAAAAATTTCCAACACTTTGTAAGTCAGACTCAAGCCTGGCTAAATTATTCATTAAAAGAACATTATCCTCTTTTATGGATCTGATGCAAACTTGAAGTAGGGGACTGTGGATCTGCTGTACTCCATAGAGAAAATAAACTCTTTACAAGAGAAGACCGATCCAAGCAGCTACGTCCAGTATGGTCAACCTGTGAGAGCAAATACTGCCCAGTGTTTACCAAGAAAGTTGTCCTCTACCTTTGCCTGCTCTACTCCTGCCTGGCTGGATTCTCTCTGCTGACTTCCAACTCTGGGGCAACTCCTCAGTTGTTGCCAGGGAAGGAATTTCACCCTGTCTTCACACAGCGTCCCTCAGAACCCAGAGAACTCAGACCTTCTTTCCCTAATCCGGCACCTCCATTTTATGTCTTTGGAGGAGGCGAACTGAGAAAAGTTTGGGCCAGTCTTTTTGCCTTTAACCTGCCAAGACAGGCCACAGGCTGGAGGGCAAACCCTAACACACTCTAAGAGGTGAAACTGCCCATATTTCCTGTCTAGGTTCTCGGATTTGGGAAGAGGGATGAGAAAAAGTACTGGAGGACTTAGGAGCTTTATTTCTGAACGTGGCTCTTACTACTGGATTTAAGTTTGGAGCCTTTGGGACATAGAGCACCATGAGGTACTCAGGATTTTAAGAGGCTGGAGATGGGGGAAGTGTTATTAAGGTATCTGGAAGGGCACACTCCAGCACCCAGGGCTCTCAGTGGTGGGGACTGGTGCACACAGTGGGGGTTCTGAACACAAGGGTCTTATCTTTGGCAGGCTAGGAGTACCCAGAAGGCTCCAGATTCAGGACGGCCCTTTTTTTTTTTTTTTTTTTTTTTTTTTTTTTTTTTTAAGATTTTATTTATTTATTTGAGAGAGAGAATGAGACAGGGAGAGAGAGCATGAGATGGGGGAGGATCAGAGGGAGAAGCAGACTCCCTGCGGAGCAGGGAGCCTGATGCGGGACTCGATCCCGGGACTCCAGGATCATGACCTGAGCCGAAGGCAGTTGCTTAACCAACTGAGCCACCCAGGCGCCCCAGGACGGCCCTTTTTATGGAACACTGTTGAGCTCTTGCAGGGGTAGAGTGTTCCCGCAGGTAGGAGAGGAGAGATACCCCAGAACGCCGACTAACTCTACATTCAAAGACATGTCTAGGAGAAACTTACCGCATGTCCCCATACGGTCCGGAGTAGCTCTCCATCCAGGGGCCCATCTCGCTTTTGACACAACTGGGACTCGGATAGGGCACTCTGCTCACCACACCGCCGGGATACCACACATCAGGTGGAGGGAAGTCACCTTCCTGGCCTGCCAGCCCCTGAGGTGGCCGAGTGTAGCCATAGGGGGCTACAGACCCTGCCTCACCAGCGCTGCCGCCTCCGCTCCCGCCGCAGGGCCCGTACAGCTGGCCTTCTTCTGCTGTGAAGAGAGTGTGCCAGGAAGAGGAGGCGGTGGCCGAGGGTGAGCCTGAGCTGGGTCCCACTGCACCCCCGCCATGCAGGCTCGCCAGATCCCCATAACGGCATTGTGCCGCTGCAGCCGCCCAGGCGCTGCCATAGTCCAGCGGGTTTTCCAGCTTGATACGGGTGTGAGGATGGGGAGGTGGCGGAGGGGGCGGCGGCCCGGCTAGGGCGAGCGGAAAGTTGTAGTAGTCGCGACTCTGATAAGCTGCCGCTTCATCTAGTGCTCCAGACTTGTAGAGAGAAAGGGTGGATGGCAGCTCAAGTGTTCCGGAGCCCCCTGCTTCACCGCTGCCCGAACAACCCAGGCTGTCGCCATCCAATCCTTTCGCATAACCTGCCTTGAAAGGGGAATACTCAGCAGTTACTTCGGTGCCCTTGCCTGGCCCGTCATCCAGCAGAGAACCTTTGCATTCGGCCAGCGGGGCGCAAGGACGTACAGCGGGTGGACCTCCCAGGAGCGGGGCGTACATGCAATCCCCCCGAAGCTGTTCCCCAGGACTCAGATGCTCCAACGCCTCCACACCCAAGCCCATGGACACCGACACTGCCTTACACAACTCCTTGGCGCTGTCCGAGATGGTCGAACTGCCCCCTAGGTAACTGTCCTTGGAGGAGGTGGGAGCACCAGCGGCCTCCCTCGCTCTCCCGCTGCTGCTACCTTCCGATACTACTACCTCCTGCTGCTGCTGCTGAAGGAGTTGCATGGTGCCGGCCTCGCTCAGGATGTCTTTAAGATCGGTGGAACAGCTACCTAAGCCCGGGAAAGTGGGGCCCAGCAGGGACAACGTGGATGGGACAGCTGAGTCATCCTCGTCCGGTGGTGCTGGCTGCTGCTGCTGCAGCCCCTTGCCGGTGGCTGAAGCCACTCCAGGCTCTGGAACGCAGCCGGTCTCCGGATGGCCCTTGGGGGCTGGCTGCTGTCCTTCGTCCAGGGCCAGGTAGCTTGTGGGGCCTCTGCTCTGGGCTTGGGGAGAGCCATCGTCACCCTGATGCCGCTGCTGCTGCTGCTGCTGCTGCTGCCGAGGACTGATCTCCTGCGGCGACTGCTGCTGGTGCTGCTGCTGCTGCTGCTGGGGCTGCTGCTGCTGCTGCTGCTGCTGCTGCAAACGGGCGCCGGGAGGTGCTGCGCTCGCTGCCTCAGGGTGCCGGGGGCCCGGGTTCTGGATCACTTCGCGCACGCTCTGGAACAGGTTCTGGAAAGCTCCTCGATAGGTTTTGGACGGCGGCCGGGGGTAAACCCTCCCTAACCCTAACTGTACCTCCATCCTTGAGCTTGGCTGACTCTTCCGCCTAATTCCTTTATTCCGCTTCCCCTTCTCTAGCTGAGAAGAGTTCAACAGGCTGCGATGCGGTAGTCACTGCAGCTAATTGCCTACCTGCGGGAAGCTCCTGGGAAGGAAACTTGCAGGAATAACCACGCAACAGCACTCTGACAGCCTCGAAGTCTCCTGCCCAGGAAAACACGCGCTGGACACGATCTGCCCTGCTAGGCTCACAGTCTGTTCCTGAAATCTTGGGAGGGTTGAGTCAAAAGATGCCCAAGTCTTGAAGGAAACAAAACAAAAACAAGGAAAACCCTCTGCCTTCCAAATTCAGTGTCCACTGAAGCAGGTGCAAATAGGAACCGGGTTATTCTCTTTTTGTTTTATTTTGGGTTTGGAGGTTTGTTTTGTTTGGTTCGGTTGTTTTTGCTTTTGTTTTTAATTGTCTACTGAAGCCCTCACTGCCCCCTGCCCTTTCATTGTTTGGTCTCTGGCCCTGCAAACTGAGGGCGCGGAGGGCGGGGGTGGGGGGGAATGTAGCTGCTGCGTGCAGGAGATGGAAAGGGAATGAGGGGAACCTGGGGGCCAGCCCCGCGTACCGCCTAACTACCCGGGTCCCAGCTGCAGTGCTGAAGCGGCTCGCTGGTCGCCCGGCTCCCCAGAGCCGTCTTTGCAGTGTGCAGCTAGCTCGCCTGTTCGCAGCCAAAGGGAGTTACCTCTCTGCAAACTCGGGCTGGCCGCGCTGGGCCGACTGGGGCGGGGGTAGGGGGACGGGCAGAGAGGAGCGGGCCGAGGCAGCAACAGGAGAGGAGACACAGGGCGGGGAGTGGGGTGGAGGGGAAGAGGACAAAGGCAGTCGTCAGTCCTACCCGGCACTTTCCTCGCTTCCTCCGAGTCTCTAGCTGCTTTTGAAAACTTCACCGAAGAGGAAAGGGCAGCTCTGGGGCGGCGGCTTCAAGCCACCGCGCTGCAAGAAGCGTTCGCTGTCGCCGGAGCCCAGCTGGGGTTGACGCGGTACGTCCCTTCAGCTCCTGTCCCGCACTGGAGCGGCTAGCTCCGTCGCTTTCCTCTGTTGCCTCCTCTGCCTCCTCTGCCTCCCGGTTTGCTCGGGACCCTCCAGCTCTCCCAGAACGCTGGCTCCCTGGGATCTCGGAAGGGGCGCTGGGAGGTGGAGAGCAAATGCAACAGTTTGCTAGTCGGGTCCCGCCCCCGCCGGGCCGGCCTCCTTGCCTTCCCACCTCCTTTCTCCCTCCCCTTTCATTTTCTCCCCTCCCCTCACGGCGCGCTAACGCCGGGTGGCTTTGGAGAAATGAGTGCTGGCGCAGCGTGGGTGAAGGCAGGAGTGGATTGCTGTAGCCCAGGAGAGCCCTAGCTCCCTGAATACCTCTTACTTTCCGGGACCAGGCTTGAGGTGCCAGAGCTGAAGCTTTAACCCGGAGCTTTATTTTGAAGACAGGGCTAAGCGGAGCTCCCGAAGGCCAGCCCTTGCAGATTTGGTTCCGAAGTCCAATCTCAAAACAGACTCTGCTTGTGTGTGAGGGAGAAGGGAGTAGGTAGGGGCGATAGGAGTACCAGTGCGTCAGGAGAGGGACTATATGTTCAAAAGCAGACAGAAGCACAGACGGGAGGGTCTCCTACAAACTGAGGAAGGAGCTATGGCCAAGGCAGCTGATACTTGCTGAAACCTTTCAAATTTCTCCGTAGGGGTAGACTGGGCCTTGTGGCATGATGCCAGTTGCTCTAGGAACCCTCTGCCTAATAATCAGAGGTCATTTCTACCCTCTTCCCTTCCTGTTTTCCTGTCTAATTGCCTCTAAACGTACACTTCTCATTTATCCAGCGTGCAAAGGCAAAATCACCCAGATAAGCAGGCAAACACACAAACACCAGAAACGTTGGTCATGTACACAGGGACCTCGATTTTGTCCAGGGTTCTGCAGCGGTGTTCTTGCTCTTCCAAGTTGCCTTGCATATTTTAAGCTTGCAAACTGCACTATTCAAGGAATGGAAGCTACATATGACTGCTTTTCTTCTTCTTGGTGGATAGCCAGGAGTGGGGGTTGAAGTGGGATATTGCAATTGCTCCTTTATGGAGGAGGTACATAGTCTTTCTGTAAAGATGGAGAGTCAGATGGGGATGGAAGAGTAGAAGTGACAAGGTAGACCTATGGGAAAGGAGGTTTCCCTTTGTGTCAGCAGGGGCCCTGGGCCTCCCTGGCCTTTAAATTTCTTACACCTCTAGATTTGGGCAGGGTCTGTCTCTCCCAAAATGTTGGTGGAGATTTTTGTGTGGATCTCTTCTACTTTTTGCAGGCTTCCACAGAGACTTACCTTGTTCACAGCTAAGCATCATGGGCATTTACTTACCCTGACCAAAGGAGGTAACTTAATCCCACAGGCAGGGAAGACTGGGTATGATCAGCTCTATTTTCCAGATGAAGACATTGAAACAAGGACAAAATTTGTTCTTTGTTCCACATTAGTAGAACCTAAACTAGTCTTCCATCTCATTGCTATTTTAGCTAGATTAACCAATGTCAAGGGCACTTGGGCAAGAGTTATAAATGAACCTTCCAGAATGCAAAGGCCTAAGAAGCTTTTTACCTGAGGTGGTGAAAATTATCCCCTGGTATTTTAATGGCTTCAGCCTTGCCTGGATATATCCCAAATACACCCCTCCCTGCCCTTTTTAGTGAGGAATCTCACAAATCACCCCTTATGGTAAAGAAGCAGCCTTATTCTTAGACATGTCAAATTGTAACAAGGCTAATTTTCAATTCCCCATTATAATAGGAAACAGGAATATGTAATTGAAATGCACAGATACTTTGAAAACTTTATTTGAATAGTCATCACACCCTCTAGTTCCACCAAAACTCTTAACTAGGATTTTTCAAAGGGAATTGAGTCAGCTGGACTGGTGAGAAAGTCGAATGAAAATAACATAGGTCTCAGAGACAGGAGAACTGTCTACAGACTGACAATGAATCTCTTCCGATTCCTCAGCTTCAATTTCTTGCTCTGTGAAATGGGGGGAGAAGAAGGTAGAGGCTGGATTGGATGGTCTTTCTGACACTGACAATTTAGAGTGCTGTGACTAACTTGAGTTTTCTTCTTATTTACACCCAATAGAGGGGTGGGTACATGGAGGGAGTGCTAATGGTAGTGAAATGACCTATGGATAGGGGTAAAGAAGCCTTAAAAAATTAAGTTGTGAAATAATTCTCTGAAGTTGCCCATTAAATAAGTGGCAGCCCGACAGACATTTAAACCCAGGTCTGAAGGATTCCAAAGTTCATGTTGCTTCTACAATGCCAAAATTGTCTTCAGAGTTTTTTCATCAGAAAATTGTGGCCAATAATACCTGCCTTAGAAGACTGAAGTGGTAGTTAGAGAAGATGATGGAACAACTTAGTAAACAGGAAAGCACTCCACAAATCTAAAGAATCACACTGTTATGTTTTATTTTTAAAAGGGGTGTTATCGACATTTATATCTTTGTCAGGAAAGGCTAACTACTGTGAACATAACAGGGCATCCACTTCATTCTGAATTTAAACTCTGATCTCCCTTCTCATCTTATTTTCTTCCCATGGCTTTAAAAAAGATCAAGAGACACTGTTGATTATTACATAAATTATGTGCCTGTACCATCTTTTTTCTTCTTATTTTCCTTCTTCTCCTTCTCCTTTTTCTTTGCAGTTAAGAAACTGCAACCAAATTAGCAACCAGTGGTGTCCTCTCAGGACATTTGAGGTGAAGGGAAGTTTTTGCCATTGGCTTCCTCTTCAATTTCAAGGGAGTTTTGTTACTGTAATTTTTCTTAGCTCCTTGCTTTGGAAAGCCAGGATGAACTGACCTTTGGAAAATGGTGGACATTCTCCCAGCTCCCGTAGGTTTTATTTCCTAAATATCTTACAAATCTGCCCAATTTTCTTCATCTCAGTTACTGCCAACCTAGTTCAAGGCACTTCCCTTTCTCACCCGGATCACGGTAAATGGTCTCTGTCTTTTTCACTCTTCCTTACCTAGAAGTCAGTTCTGCATTGAGCAGCCAGAGGGATTTTTAAAATTAAGACTTAATTTTTTAGAGCAAGTTAAGGTTCACAACAAAACAAAGAAAGGCCCAGTGATTTCCCATATGCCTCCTGCACCCACACATGCATAGCTTCCCCCATAATCAACATTCTCCTCCAGAGCAGTGTATTTGTAACAACTGACGAACTTACACTGATCCATTATAATCACCCGAAGTCCATAGTTTACATTAGGGTTAACTCTTGGTGTTGGACATTCTATGGGTTTGAACAATTGTATAATGGCATGTATCCATCACTATAGTATCATACAATATATTTTCATGGCCCTAAAAATCCTGTCTCCAAATATTTATTCCCTCCACCACTCCCTGGCCACCATTGATCTTTATACTATCTCCATAGTTTTACCCTTTCCAGAGAATGTCAAATAGCTGGAATCATACGATATGTGACCTTTCAGACTGGCTTCTTTCACTTAGTAATAGACATTTAAGTTTCCTCCATGTCTTTCCATAACTTGATGGCTTGTTTCTTTTTAGTAACTAATAATATTCCATTGTCTGGACATACCACAGTTTATTTATCCAGTCATCTACTGAAGCACATCTTGGTTGCTTCCAAGTTTTGGCAATTATGAATAAAGTTGTTATGAGTATTGTGTGTAGGCTTTTGTGTGGACTTAAGTTTTCAACTCCCTTGGGTAAATACCAAGGAGCATGATTCCTGGATCATATAGTAAAAGTAAGTTTAGTTTTGTAATAAACCACCAAACTATCTTCCGAAGTAGCTGTGCCATTTTGCATTGCCACCAGCATTTGCTGTTGTCAGTGCTCCAAATTTTGGTAGTTCTGGTAGTGGTATCTCATTGCCGTTTTAATTTGAATGTCCCTGATGACATATGCTGTAGGGTATATGTTCTCATATGCTTCTTTGTCATTGAATATCTTCTTTGGTGAGGTGTCTGTTAAAGTCTTTGGCCCATTTTTTAATCTGGTTGTTTGTTTACTTATTGTTGAATTTTAAGAGTTCTTTGTATATTTTGGATTACAGTCCTTTATTTGTGTGTCTTTTGCAAATATTTTATCCCAGTATGTACTTTTTTCTCATTTTGTTAACATTGTCTTTCACAGAGCAGAAGTTTTTAATTTTAATGAAGTCCAGCTTATCAATTCCTTTTGTTCACGGACCTTGCCTTTGGTGTTACATCTAAAAAGTCATCACCACACCCAGGGTCATCTAGGATTTCTCCTATGTTATCTTCTAGGGTAGCTTTGCATTTTACATTTAGATCTGTGATCCATTTTGAGTTAATTTTTGTGAAGAGTGTAAGGTCTATCTAGATCCATTGTGTTCTAGCACTATTTGTTGAAAAAAATGTATTTGCTTCATTGTATGGCCATTGCTCCTTTGTCAATAATCAGTTGATTATATTTATGTGGGTCTATGTCTGCAGTTTCTATTCCAGAGGGATTTTTTAAAGCAGCATAATTAAGGTATTATTGACATAAAATAAATTACACATATTTGAAGTTGTACAAATTGATAACTTTGGACATATGCATATACTCGTGAAACCATCACCTAATCAAAATAGTGAAAATACCCATCATCCCAAAAGTTTATTTTGTACCCTTTTTTACTTTCTAAGACCTAAGAAATCTTTTTTAACCCAAGATCTCAAACTGTGTTTTTAAAAACCTGTGTTTTGATTTCTAGAAGTTTTATAGTTTTCAGTTTTACATTTATTTAGGTCTATAATCCATTTTGAGTTATTTTATATATAGATATCCACTTCTTTTGTATATAGATGTCCTATTTTTCAGCACCATTTTTGAAAAAAAAAACCAAAACTATCCTTTTTCCTCTTAATTGCCTTTAGACCCTCGTTAATAATCACGTGTCAACATACGTTTGTTAGAATGTTTTTTTTTTTAAGTTGAATCTGGTCATATTATTCTTCTACTTAAACTCTGTCTCTAGCTTTCCATTGTTCTTACTATAAACATCCAAATCTTTAAACATCAAATCTACATGATCTAGTATCTCTCTACCTTTCTTTTCCTCCTGCTTTGTGAACTCCACTCACACCGCTTTTATTCAGAATTCCTCAAATGCCTGACAGTCCCCCCTGCCTT